ATGCTCCCCTGGTCACCGCCGAAACCTGGGGTTCCAGGCTCAGCGATGAGTCCAGGGTCACACCCAAGCTGGATTAGGTTCAAATCCATCGCTGGTAGAGCTCAGAATGCTCTTTGATTATAGGTGAACTATAAATCTCAGTAACTGCAACTCCCAAATTACAAAATCAATCCTCCCCCAACCCCACTAGCATTTACATGTGGGTGCATTGGGTATTTGTGCCCAGTTTGGTCCAGTGAATGAAAATACATCTTGCATATCTGATATTTACATTATGGTTGATAACAGTAGTAAAATGACTGTTATGAAGTAGCAACAAAAGCAATGTTATGGTTGGGGGTCACCACCACATGAGGGGCTGGATTAAGGGGTCGTGGCATTAGGAGGGTTGAGAAATACTGGCATAGAGTGATTTACTGCCTAGAGCAGGGGTCCTCAAACTTTTTACACAGAGGGCCAGGTCACAGTCCCTCAAATTGCCGGAGGGCCAGATTATAATTTGAAAAAAAAAAGAAGCATGAATGAATTCCTATGCACACTGCACATACTTTATTTGTAGTGCAAAAAACCACTTTAAAACAATACAATAATTAAAATGAAGAACAATTTTAAGAAATATAAACTTATTAGTACTTAAATGGGAAGATCATCTGAGGAGACCCTGCTCATTGTCCCCCCATTGTCACCATCACGTCTGGCGGGGACAACGGTCAGGGCCTTTTCTGTGGTGGCCCTCCAGCTATGGAACTCCCTCCCGAGTGAAATTAGATCTGCTGCATCCCTGACCTTCCGGAAACAAGTAAAATCCTGGCTATGGGATCAGGCCTTTGGAGAATAGGCTGACCTAGCGACTTATTTAGAACTGATGGACTGCCCTTGGATAATGATTTAAATCAGTGACCACTGACTTTTTGTTGTCTGTTTTTATATTGTTTATACGGTTTTATACGGTTCATATTGTTTTATATTGTTGTTATTATTACATTGCTGTTATTGTATATTTATGTTTTGATGGGGGCGCCATGGGGTGCCGCTTTGTTAGCCGTCCTGAGTCTCTCTGCGGAGGTTGAGAAAGGACCAGATAGAAAAGCCCTAATAAATAAATAATAAGTGTGGACCTGCTTTTGGCTGATGCGATGGGATTGTTGTTGTTGTTGTTGTTGTGTGCTTTCAAGTCGTTTCAGACTTAGGTTGACCTTGAGTGAGGGCTGGGTAAATGACCTCGGAGGGCCTTATCCGGCCCCCGAGCCATAGTTTGAGGCCTCTTGGCCTAGAGGGACAATTTCTTAAAATTGTTCTTCATTTTAATTGGCTGGGGGACAACTGCTCGTCCTCACAACCATTGACTTGTGGGGTCCCGCAGGGTTCTATACTGTCCCCCATG